AACACATCTCGCATTGTCTGAAGACATATGCAGCCCGCGGAAATTCAATTTGGTAGACGTCAGCCAAAGTTACCCCCTCCAGGCCGGTTCACATCCCCAGCCTATCGCACAGCAAACGCCCCCTTCCAATCACCGAGAAACTCCCACGTCACGGCCTCCTGAGCCTTGCATGAATCGTTCTGGAGGAATCGCTTTGTCTACTCACGCTTACTCCTGCGGTCCCTGCTGTCCTCTGTCTTGCTGCGTGTGGTTGCTCCTCCTCCGCGTCGCTGCACCTGCTGCGGGTCTCGTGCTGTGGTCCGTGGGTCTTTGCCGCTCTCCTCCTTTGCGGGCTCTTTCTGCGGGTTCGCCGCTGCTCGTCTCGTCGCGGCCTGTTGCTGCATACGGCCGGTCTGGACCGGTGCGGTGGGAGCCGTGCGCATCCCTGCCTCCTTGTGCCGGTAGGCGTGGTCCCTTTGTGTTGTCCCTTGTCTTCTGGCGTCGTGGGTAAGTATGAGATCCACGGACGGTTTATTCCCCTCGCATTGTACTGCAGGCTCAGTTGGCCCCGTGCAAGCTGCAGTTTAAAGCCCTCGCATTGGTCTGCAGGCTCTCTTTAACCAAGCTCCGTTAAATCCTTCACTCTGACTGCAAGCTCCGTTTATTCCTCACATTGGACTGCAAGATCTCAGTTAATCCCTCACATTGGACTGCGAGCTCTCAGGTTAATCCCTCACGGAACTGCTTATATCTGGAACTGCTTATATCTGGAACTGTTATACCGTACCTGGAACTGCTTCATGCGGAACTGCTTCTATATGGAACTGCTATATATGGAACTGCTTTTATATGGAACGGCTTATATACGGAACTGCTTATATATGGAACTGCTCATATTGGAACTGCATATATGGTACTGCTTATATCTGGAACGCATATATATGAAAAAAATAATAAAAATAAATAAATAAATATAAATAAATAAATATATAAATATAAATATAAATAAATGTAAATGTAAATGTAAATAAAAATAAATGTAAATAAATATAAATGTAAATAAATATAAATGTAAATAAATATAAATAAATATAAATGTAAGTAAATGTAAATGTAAATAAATATAAATAAATATAAATAAATAAATAAATACAAATAAAAAACTGCAGGCTCTGTTGGATCCCTCACACTGGATTGTAAACTTTCAGTTTAAACTCCTCACTTGGACTGCAGGCTCAGTTAATCCCTCACTTGGACCGTAAAACCTGTTTAAATCCCTCACACTGGATTGCAGCTCTCGGTTTAATCCCTCACTTGGACTACAAGCTCTCAGTTATAAATCCCTCTTTTAGGACTGCGGGCAATGTTGAATCCCTCACTCTGGACTACAAGCTCCCAGTTTAATCCCCCACCTTGGACTACAAGTCGTTTAACTCCCTCACACCGGACTGCAGGCTCTCCGTTAAACGCCTCACTTGGACTGCGGGCTCGGTTTTAATACCTCACTTTGGACTGCAAACTCTATTAAATCCCTCACATTAGACTGCAAGCTCTGTTTAGGTCCCTCGGCGTCTCGTGTCCCGCAACCTCTTCCCGGCTCTCCATGAGCCCCAAGTCGGCACGCGGCTCGGGCGCGGGAGGTGTCCGTGGGCTACGTCATTGGCCCCTTCTCTCCGTCTCGCTCTAACCCAATGGGCATCGCCACCCGCAAGCACTCCAGGAAGAAGCGTCTCATACTCGTCCTCCCTGTCCCCGCTCCGGGCCCGCCCGAGCATCAACAGCCCCTTCCCTCCAGCGCCTTCTCCCTGCAGTCCGCTATCGTGGACCACGCGATCAGGCTGATAAAGACCTTCGGCCCCGGCTCCTGGCTCTCCAAGGCCGTCATCCCGGACGCGTTCAAGCTGCTGCCATCCACCCCGACCACTGGCGCTGTTCGGGGGTCAAGTGGCGTCGGAGTTCTTCTTTGCAGTGCGCCTCACCTTTGACTGCCGGAGTAGTCCCTCTCGTTCAACAATCTCTCGGAGGCGCCGTGTCGGTTTCTGCTTAATTACGCGCGGCTCCCCTCTGTCCCGCATCTCCCCGATGATTCCCTCGTAGTCAACCCACCCTCAGACTGCTCCGGGGGCTCTCTCCGCAAGCTCAGGCCCGCCTTCTCTGCCCTCGGATTCCTTCACTCCGGAAAGACCACAGGCCCCGCCAACGCTCCGGAGTTTCTTGGCATCCGCCTCGACACACGCGCCATGGAGGCCTCCCTCTCGCTGGACAAGCTCGAACGCATCCGCGCGTTCTCCCGGTCTGCCCCGGCCTTCCCGTCACTTCGAGGCGTCCTTGCTCTCCCTCCTCGGGCATCTTAATTATGCCGTCCGTATCATTCCCCAAGGTCGTTCTTTTAATTCCAGACTCCTCTCCCTCGCCGGCTCCGTCTCCTCCCCCAATGACGCTGTCTGCCCGGACGTGGGGCGCCGCTCCGACCTGGCGTTCCGGTCCCGTCTGCAGAGCCGCTGGGATGGTGTATCTCTTTTTTTTACAGTGACATCATCCTGTCTCAGATGCCCCGCGGTTTCTTCACGGACGCAGCCCCGTCCGTGGGTTTTGGGGGTTTTTCCAGGACCAGTGGTTTCCCTCGAAGCATCTCCTCCGCGCTCCACGAGATATATCCCGTGACCGTAGCCTGCGTGCTGCGGAACCATACGTGGCATAGGAAAGGATTTCCGTGACGTGCGACAACCTCGACGTCATTGAAATAATTAACAGAAGTCGTTCATCCTCTCCCCAAATCACATCCTCCTTAGACGCATCACATGGCTCTCAGTCCCGAACAATTTATCATCACTGCTCGTCACGTCCCTCGTCACCTAACTGTCTTGCTGACTCTCTCTCTCGCTTTAAATTCCAGGAGTTCTGACGCCTATGCCCTTCTGCCAATCCATCGCCATGCCAGATCCCCTGCACGGAATCCCTCGCCCTGGTCTAGTCCCTCCGTCTCTTCACCTTCTCTCCTCCGCTGCATCCTACATGAAAATGGGCTCTTACGCATAAGCGAATTCACAAACTTCCTGGTGGCGGCAGCAGCTGAGTATCCGCAAGTATGGTCACAGTAGATAGCGGTCACAGTAGATAGCGGTCACAGCATATAGCGATAGCGGTCACAGTATATAGCGATAGCGGTCACAGTATATAGCGATAGCGGTCACAGTATATAGCGGTAGCGGTCACAGTATATAGCGGTAGCGGTCACAGTATATAGCGGTAGCGGTCACAGTATATAGCGGTAGCGGTCACAGTATATAGCGATAGCGGTCACAGTATATAGCGATAGCGGTCACAGCATAGAGCAGTCTCGACGTTCTGTCCCCTCCAAACCAGGCTGCAAAACTCCATCAACACACAGCCTTTTTGGGGATTGGCGTGCTCCATCGCAGGAGCCTCTCCGATCTGAAGGCCGCACCGGGGCCTAGGGCGCCAAACCTCCTCCCAATAAAATACTCAAAAGCTTCTTGTTTCTCGTCTCTCCAAATTGAAATGCAGCCCGCGGAAATTCAATTTGGTAGACGTCAGCCAAAGTTACCCCCTCCAGGCCGGTTCACATCCCCAGCCTATCGCACAGCAAACGCCCCCTTCCAATCACCGTACCGGCCAGGCAGCCGCTTAAAAGCGGAGAAACTCCCACGTCACGGCCTCCCGAGCCTTGCAACCACCGCCTCCCCTCCTCCTCCTCTTCACCCTGCCTCCAATCTGCCTTCAATCTGCTTCCCGCTGCCAAATGCCGCCACCAGTGCCTAGGTCCCGGGGGATTGGTGCGCTCCATCGCAGGAGCCTCTCCGATCTGAAGGCCGCACCGGGGCCTAGGGCGCCAAACCTCCTCCCAATAAAATACTCAAAAGCTTCTTGTTTCTCGTCTCTCCAAATTGAAATGCAGCAGTAGGAACAACAGCAGGTGCCTGGACGTCTGCCTCTGACTGTCTTTTCTATGGTGGACTCATCACAACCTGAAATAAAATAATTATGATTTAGTTCTTTGTGTGCAATGAAAAGTGATGTATGCGTTTGTTTTATCCAACCACACAATCAGTGAGAAACATGTTTCATAGCTTTTATTTAAGTACTTCTAATCTTAAATACATTTAAGCCATTAACTCTGACGTAATCAGGTCTGTTGGATTTCAAGAGGAGCTTGTGCTCAAAAAGTAAGTACTCATGACCTTAAATCTGGTCTGTAAGTTCAAGTCCACTAGATCCAATAGAGGGAGCCATTTCCCACCTCCAATGTTAATACAATGTTATGTCCTAATTAAAACGTAAATTCAACTTTGACCTTTACCTCATCATGGCCGCTCCTCTCTCCGTTGGACGCTCACGTACAACAGCACGGCCTGAACGTGTGTGCAGTGTCCGAATCGCCATCAGAATGAGTCCAGTCACTCACTCACTATATAGTCCCACACTATGTAGTGAGTGAGTGAATAGGGTATAGTGTGGACATTCGGATAAAGCCAAAGTCGTGTTCTGGCCCTGGCTACATCTGTGGAGGATTGGCTGATCGATTGCGTCTGTCTTGATTTACCTGGAAATCCAGCATGACATTTCAAGAAGTGAAAAAAAATGCAACGAATTTTTGGACACTGAATTTTAAAACATTGAATATTTTGACACTGAATTTTTGAATTTATTTACACTGAATACTTTTTTGTTACAGTTTATAGAATTCAAAAGCAAAAAAATAACAAAAATGTTGATAATAAAAACACAAAATAACCTTCATAGAAATTCCCAATGCTTTATTAGTATTTTTCATTTTTTTTAAATGGCCTTCCTCGAGTGGATTTACCCTTGATCGGACAGTGCATGCTCTCTACTCTGGTCTGGATCAGTATAAAACCATGAACACTGTACTGTAGTTACCTTTACAGATAAAAGCAAAAAAAACAATGATCGTATTGCACAAAACAACTGTTTCAGAGATTCTTAGGACTTGCTGCCATTTCCAACAATTTCAAAAGTAAATGCATGTGTAACAGCTGTCATTGCAAAACACAGACATCAAAGTCTGCCAGTCGGTCCATGCTGTTTCTGCGTCCGCTCGAGCACTGAAAGCGAATGGGTTCACGTCTCACCGACTCCAAAATAATCACGGAGCCGTTCCTGATCCCAGTCTCATACAGAGAGTCGTCTTCATCCAAAATGGAGCCCTCAAATAACAGCCGGTAGTTTTCTGAGGAAACACAAGGATCAGAAGCCTCAAACCAAACAGACCAGTTTCTACAGCTGCATTTTCTACACAGGACAAACTCAAAATATATCGTTCAAATGTTTATTTCTGCAATTCAACTCACAGTGAAAAAGTGACATGAGCCTTTGTCTGTTATAAGACTGTTATAATGTTTAGAGGACCCCCACGAAAACGAGATGATGCATCTCATGGGGTTATTCCTCTTTGAATAAATGTCTAAATAAATAAATTATAATCATGGACTAGTTATGTCCATGGTTGGAGCTAACATTACAATCCACGTCCAAACATTCTACATTTCTGAGAGGTCTAATTTGGGATTCATAAGAACTAACTACTCTGACAATGTTCAAATGCCTTTTGTTTGAACTGTGCCACACAAATAAAGTAGCCTTGCTTTGCCTTATAAAGTTAGTTTAATGTGTACAAGGATGACCTGTCGGTGCAACTTGGTTTTAGCAAATATAACCCTGTAGTGTCAGTCCCTGTGGTGTCAGTCCCTTATGGTTTGGATCATAATATCAAAAATAATGCTGCAAAAAGCCTCGTAATGATTGTGTGGACTAAAGATGACAATTTTTGTATGCAAAAATATTTTAAATTCTTCAGATGAAATGAAGTACAGCAGTCACTGAATCACCAGTGACCTCTGAGATGTTTTAACTAATGAGTTTGTATAAAAGTGAGTATTTATGATCATAAAAATAATGTAGCTGCTTGGATTGAAACGAAACTGGACCAAAGAAAATGTGTTCCAGCGTCGACTGGGTTTAATAATGTTTCCTTTGAATGAATAAATAGCTTTTGCTGACATTACACTTTGAAGTCCACCAGGGGGCAACATAATGTTGATAACCGGAGTACCTATATGATATATAATATATAATTAGGTTTGCTTGGATCGGTTTGCACACCTGGTGTGCAATCCATGAATCTCTTTATTCAAGGCTAGGTTTAAAACAGTCCTCTTTAGTTTAGCATATGGCTAGGAAGGTAAGACTCAGGGAAGGCTAAACTCCTCAGAGTGTCAGTCAAGCTGCATAGGGAGTCAGTTTGCTGGGAGAAGTATGGTAACTTGAGCACTATCCTCTCCTCCTTCCTACTTTATCTAATTTATCTGTTTAGCACTTTTAGGATTCTGACTGTAGTTTGTTCATTGCTATTCACCCGTTGTCCCATTGTCTGTTTCATGGTACGATGACGGGATCTCTGAGCCTGGCCTCTTCCATCTACACCTGCGGACTGCCCCGCCCGACCCGCCTGGGAGTGCTTCAGTCCTGCACCAGACCTGTCCACGTTCAGCGTCCACTGGTCCACGTTCTGTAGCTAGCTTAGGTCCTAGATCATTAGCCTGTCCGTCCGGAGGAGCGGATCCCTTTCTCAAATGGGTCTCCCTCCCTGTGGGTTTCCCTAGTTCTCCCCAAGGTTTCTCACTTTTTCCCACTGGGTTTTTTAAGAGTTTTTCCTTGTCGATGCAGGAGGGTCTTGTTGGACAGTTAGTGTCCAACAGAAAGGATTGGTGATGATCAGGACACTTTAACATTCTACAACATGTATGGACATTTTCTTCTGTGTGTGCTTTATATTCTTCATGTGTTTTAACTGTTGATTCTCTGACCTGTGTTGGTGATTTCAATGGTTTTGTTAAGTCCTCTGAGATGACTTCTGTTGTGACCTAGGGCTATACAAGAATAAATTGTATTGTATTGTTGTATTGTACCTGAGTTGTAGCGCTCTTTTTCCTGCTGAACCTTGTCCCACAGATCCTCCACGGTCAGCTCTTTGAACCGCTTTGTGGTGTTGCAGAGGAAAACCTCAAAGGACCCTCCTCCCCTCACCTTTATCTCAACCTCATACATGTTGAATCTGAAAGAAAACACAGCAATTAAACAACAGGTAAATCAAAAGCTACTGAGTTTTATACTTTGAATTATTATCAGCAGAGGAGCAAGGAAGCAGGTACCATAGGCGTGTCAACTTAAGGACAACATGGTCATTGTGTTAAGTATAGACCCATGTTGGTTTTTCACTACAGGGAAGACTGTCTCCTCCTCCTGCTGAGGGCCACAGCCTGTCTCCTCCTCCTGCTGAGGGCCACAGCCTGTCTCCTCCTCCTGATGAGGGCCACAGCCTGTCTCCTCCTCCTGCTGAGGGCCACAGCCTGTCTCCTCCTCCTGATGAGGGCCACAGCCTGTCTCCTCCTCCTGCTGAGGGCCACAGCCTGTCTCCTCCTCCTGATGAGGGCCACAGCCTGTCTCCTCCTCCTGCTGAGGGCCACAGCCTGTCTCCTCCTCCTGATGAGGGCCACAGCCTGTCTCCTCCTCCTGCTGAGGGCCACAGCCTGTCTCCTCCTCCTGATGAGGGCCACAGCCTGTCTCCTCCTCCTGCTGAGTGCCACAGGATGTCTCCTCCTCCTGCTGAGGGCCACAGCCTGTCTCCTCCTCCTGCTGAGTGCCACAGCATGTCTCCTCCTCCTGCTGAGGGCCACAGCCTGTCTCCTCCTCCTGCTGAGGGCCACAGCCTGTCTCCTCCTCCTGCTGAGGGCCACAGCCTGTCTCCCTTGTCCGTGCAGTGTGACAGTACGGTGTATTGTCTTTTTTCTCAGAATATTGTAACTGTTTGGTGTCATTAAAAGTGGTGCTTCTCCTGCTGTGAGGAGATGGAACAGCAGCAGATCAACTAATATATCCTGAATATTTGAGCTATTTCACCATATGAGAGTTGTCAGTCAGTGTTAACAAACTGTGCCTGTGCTCTTGGCTTTGGGGATTGGAAAAACCAAAACCCACCCTTACATCCATTTTCTTACCATTAATCAATTTTGGAGTCATGGGGGTGGCAGTCAGAGCTGTACCCAGCCCACAGAGCACCAGCCCCTCCCTGAGTCCACTAGAGGATGGCTGCTCTAGTTTGAGTTTGATTTTCCAGCGGGGACTACCGGCAAAGTGGATTAAGTGTCTTGACCAAGGACACAACAACAGCAGACATCAGTGGTGGGCTTGAACCCACAACCTTCAGGCCCAAAGGCCTATGGTCGACCAACTGAGCCACTTTCGCCTCTGAAAACCCGAACCCATTTATCTTTGTTGTTTAAAATCCAGAAAGGATCGTTCATGCTGCTGTCGCTGCACCTGACTGTTTATGTTGTACTGCATGTTCTCTTGTTATAGTCCGATTCTTTCCAAATATGGACCAACTGAATTTGAGTCCGGAAATAAACAAAATTTGACACAGATACACTTATTATCGACATAAGTAGTAGATGTTCCAGTTTCCAGGCTGGTCAAACACAGGCCTTGAACAGAGAGATCCAGACTTTTGCATCGTGTCAAACCGTGTGTCTGCTCAAGCCACAGCCAAGGCCACGGGAAAGTCAGTCATATCATTTATCACACGTAAACTATTGTGAAAAGTGACGTTACTTCAAAAAGACAAACTCAGTAAAACGCAGCAGCTGTTGTCTATGTTTATGACGGCCCAGATAACGGTGCAGCCACTGTGCTGCTGTTTCTACACGTTACAGTCTAAAGCCACACGTCACAAGCTCTACATGGATCTATTATAGCAGACGTTCTGTGTATTCCACGTGTTTATTCCAGTATTGTGGAAGTTGTAGCGAGTGCAAAGCCTTACCTCTTCGATGCGTGGTCCGGCAGCAGTTTCACTTTCGTTTTCTATTACTTCACTTGTTGGGAATGGGGTCTGCACCGCCCCTAATAGATCCATGCACTGCCCCCACGTGACTTGGGAAATGGCTGCATCTAAATCCATGAAAAATACCTCTGAGCCTGAGGTGTCCTGCCTCGTCCTTTGTGTTCCCCTGGCTTGGTGGTTTACAATTTACCACAATTTGCCTTCAAACCAAGCCTTACAAAGTTCTTATTTTTCACTCGTCTCCTGAAGAGAAACTGGACGTGAGTTCCTCTCTCTGGACTCTCTGGTCTTTGTATCTGAACTCTCTCTCTGGATGCTCACTCCTTGGTCTCTCTCTATGGTCTCTCACTCTCTCTCGAAAGTAAATCTGGAGCTGGCAGGACTAAACCTTTGTCGTAGATTAACCACACAGAGACGGGATTGTGGCACACCAGAGCTCCTGGAAGTTTATTCAGTTTCCTCCAGGTTTCAGTTGTTTTCAGACAGGCAGGACATGGTTTATATAGTCATTGTTACGTCACTGATACGTCACACAGAAAGGCATTCTTCAATCCTCCGTCCAGAGCGTCCCCAGTCCCCAGTTTGACCCCTGCGCTAAAGGGAACATGGTCCAATAGTGGTGTTTGTGCAATTATTAGGCTGACTGTGCTCATTCACCCACTCTGTCCCAGTAAAATAGGTTGATACTTTATTGGCCCCTGTAGGAGAAATTCAGGTGTCCAGCCGCCAAAACACATCCATCCATACAAACACATAATCACTATATCATTATAAGTTACGAACAATAGTAATAAAATGCAACACTAGGTCACAGCAGTTGGTGAAGCCACTGATGATGAGCTGTTTCCATTCTTCTGGTTCAGCCCATTTTCTCTGCTACCACAAGTGAGTGAAATTCCCAATGCTTTATTAGTATTTTTCATTTTTTAAAAATGGCCTTCCTCGAGTGGATTTACCCTTGATCGGACAGTACATGCTCTCTACTCTGGTCTGGATCCGTGTAAAACCATGAACACTGTTCTGTAGTTACCTTTACATAGATAAAAGCTAGAAAAATAATGATCGTATTGCACAAAACAACTGTTTCAGAGATTCTTAGGCCATTTCCAACAATTTCAAAAGTAAATGCATGTGTTACAGTTGTCATTGCAAAACGCAGACATCAAAGTCTGCCAGTCGGTCCATGCTGTTTCTGCGTATGCACAAGGTTCCGGAGAGACTGGGTTCACGTCTCACAGACTCCAAAATAATCACGGAGCCGTTCCTGATCCCAGACTCATACAGAGAGTCGTCTTCATCCAAAATGGATCCCTCAAATAACAGCCGGTAGTTTTCTGAGGAAACACAAGGATCAGAAGCCTCAAACCAAACAGACCAGTTTCTACAGCTGCATTTTCATAAAGTTAGTTTAATGTGTACAAGGATGACCTGTCGGTGGAACTTGGTTTTAGCAGATAACCCTGTAGAGTCAGTCCCTTATGGTTTGGATCATAATATCAAAAATAATGCTGCAAAAAGCCTCGTAATGATTGTGTGTACTAAAGATTACAGTAAATTGTGTTTTCCTTTTTTTTTAAATGCAGGAATATTTTAAATTGTTCAGATGAAGTGAAATACCGCGGTCACTAAATCACCAGTGACCTCTGAGATGTTTTATACAATGAGATTGCATAAAAGTGAGTATTTATGAGCATTGAAATATGGTGTTTTTTTATATTTCTAGGAGCAAAGTGAGTGCAACTGCTTGGATTGAAACTGGACCAAAGACGATGTGTTCCAGCGTCGACTGGGTTTAATAATGTTTCCTTTGAATGAATGAATAACTTTTGCTGACATTACACTTTGATGTCCACCAGGGGGCGACATAATGTTGATAACCTGAGTACCTGAGTTGTAGCGCTCTTTTTCCTGCTGAACCTTGTCCCACAGATCCTCCACGGTCAGCTCTTTGAACCGCTTTGTGGTGTTGCAGAGGAAAACCTCAAAGGACCCTCCTCCCCTCACCTTTATCTCAACCTCATACATGTTGAATCTGAAAGAAAACACAGCAATTAAAGCCTCCTGCTGAGGGCCACAGCCTGTCTCCTCCTCCTGCTGAGGGCCACAGCCTGTCTCCTCCTCCTGCTGAGGGCCACAGCCTGTCTCCTCCTGCTGCTGAGGGCCACGGCCTGTCTCCTCCTCCTGCTGAGGGCCACAGCCTGTCTCCTCCTCTTGCTGAGGGCCACAGCCTGTCTCCTCCTGCTGCTGAGGGCCACGGCCTGTCTCCTCTTCCTGCTGAGGGCCACAGCCTGTCTCCTCCTCCTGCTGAGGGCCACAGCCTGTCTCCTCCTCCGGCTGAGGGCCACACCCTGTCTCTTCCTGCTGCTGAGGGCCACGGCCTGTCTCCTCCTCCTCCTGAGGGCCACAGCCTGTCTCCTCCTCCTGCTGAGGGCCTCCCTTTTCCGTGTGTGACAGTACGGTGTATTGTCTTTTTTCTCAGAATATTGTGACTGTTTGGTGTCATTAAAAGTGGTGCTTCTCCTGCTGTGAGGAGATGGAGCAGCAGCAGATCAACTAATATATCCTGAATATTTGAGCTATTTCACCATATGAGAGTTGTCAGTCAGTGTTAACAAACTGTGCCTGTGCTCTTGGCTTTGGGGATTGGAAAAAACCAAAACCCACCCTTACATCCATTTTCTTCCCATTATTCAATTTTGGGGTCATGGGGGGTGGCAGTCAGGGCTGTACCCAGCTCACAGACCACCAGCCCCTCTCTGATCCTCATCAGGCCCAAATGCCTATGCTCTACCAACTGAGCCCTTTCGCCCCTAAAAACCCGAACCCATTTATCTTTGTTGTTTAAAATCCAGAAAGGATCGTTCATTATAGATCGTTATAGTCAGATTCTTTCCAAATATGGACCAATTGAATTTGAGTCCGGTAATAAACATAATCTAACACAATGACACTTGGTGTCGACATAAGTAGTAGATGTTCCAGTTTTCTGTCTGGTCAAACACAGGCCTTGAACAGAGCAGAGATCCAGACTTTTGCCTAGTGTCAAACCGTGTGTCTGCTCAAGCCACAGCCAAGGCCACGGGAAAGTCAGTCATATCATTTATCACACGTAAACTATTGTGAAAAGTGACGTTTCTTCAAAAAGACAAACTCAGTAAAACGCAGCAGCTGTGACTATTTTTATGACGGCCCAGATAACGGTGCAGCCACTGTGCTTCTGCTGCTGTTTCTGCTCCACACGTTACAGTCTAAAGCCACACGTTACAGTCTAAAGCTACACGTCACAAGCTCTACATGGATCTATTATAACAGACGTTCTGTGTATTCCACGTGTTTATTACAGTATTGTGGAAGCTGTAGCGAGTGCAAAGCCTTACCTCTCCGATACGTGGTCGTCAGCGGTTTCACTTTCGTTTTCTATTACTTCACTTGTTGGGAATGGGGTCTGTACTAACCCCACGTCACTTGGGAAATGGCTGCATACAGTCTATGATCCAAACCCATGAAAAATACCTCTGATAGGTGCAAGTTTATATGTAGTGAAGAGGTATCAAAATCTGATAAACAGATTCACACATGCTAAATAATTTTGAACTGTATCTGAAGAACCTAAAGTTTTAGTAAAAAAAAAAAAAGTTAGTAAAACGTCTTCAAATTGAGTTGAACTATGGCTGCGGCCCACCGGTATACCAGTGTAGATTGACGTCAAAATATTAGGGGAAATTAGGTTTTATTTCAGCTTCATCACGTCACAGCGTCAGAGTCAGAGTTCGTTTATCTATCTTTTTATTAGAACTTGTTTGCACCATGAGCTAAAAAAAATCCTAGTTTGTGACTTCTTGTTCTAAACATTTAAGATGCATTTACAAATTGCCATTATGATTGGCAAAGTTGGCAAAGAGGCGGTACAACACAGAAATGCTGAATGGGATTTAATAGTTACCTAACGTAACTTAAGTTCTACGAATAGGTGCGTAGTCCCTTAGCGGACTTCGCTAGTGGGATATCACGTGACCCCCAGGTCACACGCCAGAGAGATCAAAATAATTTGCTCCAATCACTAGCGACCCTCCTCTATAAAGGCCCCTCTATAAAGTCAAGGTCAACCTCTAATAGGGGACAAAAAGGTTACAACTCAGTCCGCTGCACTAAGCACGGAATGGGCCACCGACCGGTCCGACACATCCAAAAGGTAAGACCGGACGAAAGAAGAGGACGACGCCCAAGAAGCCGCACGGCACACGTCCTCGACCGACGCCCCCCTGAGGAGGGCCGTAGAGGCCGCCACCCCACGCGTGGAATGCGACCTGAAGCCCACCGGGGGGGCCAGGCCCTGAGCCTGATACGCCCGCCGCACAGCCGTGGCGACCCAATGCGCCAGCCGCTGAGCCGACAGCGGGGCGCCCCTGTTCTTGGGACCCAGACACACAAACAGCTGACCAACCAACCTGAATGAAGACGTCATGGCCAGGTAATGCCTAAGCATTCTGACAGGACACAGAAGGTGCCGCCGCTCCTCCTCGGGGGAGGCATGCGGCGGCGGATGGAATGCCCTAATCCTGATCACTCTCGACCTGAAGGCCGACGTGATGACCTTAGGGAGAAAAGCCGGATTAGGCCACAACTCCGACAGGCCGTCGCCCTCTCCAAAGGACAGGCAAGACGCATGGACGGAGAGCGCACACAAGTCGCCCGCCCTCTTAGCAGACGCCAACGGCAGCAAGAGGGCAGTCTCAAAAGCAACACACTCAGGACTCGCCTCCGCCGCCGGTTCAAAAGGCGGGCCCGACAGACCCCTAAGGACCACCCTGAGGTCCCAAACCGGGGGCCTTCTCTGAAGCGGGGGCCTCCCTCCAACGGGCAACGCCTGGGATCCCAGGAGCGAGAACCGCACCAGTCGCTGAAGAGCCTCCATCTCGTGGCATAGGCCATCACAGTGGACGGCGCCCTCGCCCCCTGAATAGTCTCCACCACCGCCGGGGGAAGACCCAGGTCTACGAGGTTCCGCCTCTCAGCCTCCAACCCAAAGCCTGCGGCCGATTATCGGGCGTGAAAACAGCCCCCCCCCCCCATCCCCAGCAGGGACCTGAGGCGCCGAGCGGGGACCCTGGGGCCCGCCAGAACCTCCCTGGCTAGACGGGTAATCTTCCTCCGTCTGTCCTCGGACCATGCAGCACGGAACGTCACAGAGTCTAGCTGCAGGCCGAGATAGATCATGCGCTGAGCCGGTTGCAGCCTGCTTTTCTCCCTGTTCACCACAAAGCCCAGGCGCTGTATGTGGGACAGGACCCAGTGCGTGTGACTCACGGCCACTTCCCTGGATGAGGCCAGTATTAACCAATCGTCTATATAGGTTAATATTCTAATATTCGGCTCCAGTGCCGCCTCCACGCACTTTGAGAAGGTCCGAGGCGCGAGCGCAAAGCCGAAGGGGAGACAGCAGTACTCGTAACTCCTCTCTCCCACTGCGAAGCGCAGGAACCTCCTGTGTTCCGGAACTATCGGCACGTGAAAGTAAGCGTCTGTCAGGTCTATGGAGGACATCCAATCTCCCTGCCTGACACACTCGAGGAGCTGTTTTGTGGACAGCATCCGAAACTGCCGTTTGGAAATGTACTCGTTCAGAACGCGCAAATCCAAAATGGGACGCACCCCGCCTGACTTCTTTGGCACCAAGAAGTAAGGGGAGTACAGCCCCCTGGTGGCGTCCTGTGGGTCTACCTCCACTGCTGCGCCTCGACTCAGCAGAGAGGAGACCTCCGCTTGTAGTGCCACTAATGATCCCCGTACCTGAGAGCGTGCTGCCCGTACGCCTCGGAATGGTGGTGGCTTTTGGGAGAATTGCAGTGCGTAACCCCTGCGCAATGTCTTCTCCAGCCACGGATCCGTCAGTAATCCCTGCTCCCTCCAGATGCTGTAGAAGTCTGTGAGGGGCGGAACGGGAGCTGGAACACGAGACGTCACAGCCCCGCCCTCTCCTGGTGTTCCTAGCAGGGAGGGGGGGTGGACGAAAGGGCAGGGGGGCCCCCTGCGTCATACCGTGTGCGCCAGGGGCGGTCACGTGTCCTGCAGGCCCGACGTCATACGTACGGGACTGCTCATACCACGTGACTCGACTGCTGCGCCCCCCCCTGGCTCTTGCCTCATGGAGGGGGTGGGCGAGCCCCAGGAGTGGGAAACCCCGTGTTAGCCTCGTAGCTCAGAAGGGCTAGCACGCGTTCGGCCGAAGCACACACATCACTACTCACCAGATCCCTCCGCCTGACCTCTCTCTCTGAGGGCATAGTATGGATCAGAGGACCGGAGCTCGTAGCTCGCATAGCGCACTGCACACCCTGCTCTGGGGGCTGCAGGCCTAGCGAACCAACGTTATGTGCCCGGGAAGTAACACAATCAGATTGCACATTAAACATGTTACGTACCCCCAAATGAGACTCAGACAACGAGTACTGACGAAATGCCGGTCGGCCTTTATTGAAAGAATTCTTGCCACCCCGACCTCCTCTGCCATAGGGAGGCCGGCGGTGGGTGCGTTGCTCCCGCGAGCCACCCGTGGGTCTGTCTGGACCCGGGGGCCTCGTCGAGGGGGGACAATGGACCACAGAGCGCGGATACGGGTCAGGACGCCTCCCGGGCGAACGCTCTCTGCCTCCGTCCCGGCTCCGTAATGGTGGGCGGGCCTCGCGCCTCGGTGCTAGGTGCGGGGTTAGCCTAGCCGAGTCGTTGGCTGCAGACTCCAGTCTCGCCATCAGGGCCTGCATGTCCGGGCCGAAGAGGGACGTCTGGGAGACGGGCAGGTCCAGCAGCTGCCTCTTCTCCGCCTCCCTGATATTAGCCAGCCCAAGCCAAAGGTGCCTGGCCCCGACTTGGGCTGCTGCCATGGAGCGGCCGCCATCCACGGCTAGCGCCTGGCACATGCGCAGGATCGCCGCCGAGGTGGTCCTCGCCTGCGATAGGAGGTCTCCACTGAGCGCCTGGCCAGAGGAGAGCGACCTATCCAGGGCCCCCGTGATAAATGCCATGTTGTTAGCCAATGTGACGACCTGTGCCGCATTGGCATAACATCTAAAGATGGCGCTGTGGCAAGAGCTCTGGTGTGTGTCGTTTCTCTGTCTGGTGCACACCGGGGTAGTCTTGCACAGATTTTCCAATGTGGTTTTACTGCAAATGGCAAATAAATGAATCTGAATCTGAATCTGATCTATCCAGCATCGCCAAAGACATCCTGTCCCGCTCGGAGGGAAGGAGAGGTCTGGTGCCGGGCCACACGGATGCGGAGGGCTGCAGGGCCATGCGGACTGAATCCTCGATGTCCGGGACACCACCGGTCCAGGACCAGTCCTGCACGCTGCAGTACATGCCGTACCCCAGAGCAGGCCTCTTGGCTGCTAGGGGCTTAGGCCACTCACGTGTCGCGTAATGGACGATCGGGTCCATCCGCGGGCACAACGTGGGTTGTATCCTCCTCCTCCCTCGAGTGGTGGCGCCCACAGAGGTGAAGTCCTCCACCGTCTGGATCCAGCGACGACGTCCGACGCCGGAGGGCGAAGGGAACTCGGACGAACAATGGAAGACATCTCAGAATGAA